GCGGCTGAGCAGCGCAGGAAAGGCCGCATGGTGGGCCAAGATTGCCCACGCAATGTGCCAGAGGGTGGCCGCGTACCCTTTTGCAGTTCCCCACCTCAATTTGCAAACGCCGCTTTCAGCAAGCTAAAAAAGCTTTTGTTCGCTGAGGGAAGCGCCCAAGTGGCCCTGGCACATGCTCACTTGACTTGGAGGCAGGCGGGCGGCTGTCCGCAGTGAAAATGAAATGCGCATGATGAGGAACCAAAAGCCGGCGCTTTTAGCGGGGCAGCAGGGGTCGACGAGCTTGAAGGAAATTGGTTCTGGTTCGCTTTCATTCTGCTTTTGTGCTTTCACGCGCTTTCATTCTGCTTTCACACATTGACAGTTAGGCCCATAGGTTCTTGGCAGAGATCCCAAGCGACTGGTAGAGTGGCGTTCAGGCGGCTTTCGCGTTTATTGACATATTAAGGGCCACCTGTGGCTTTGCGAATGTGCCAGCAAGAACCAAGCGTTGGTGCTTGGCCTGATAGAGCTATGGGTTCTTGGAAGGGGCCACGTCGACGGGTTCAACAAGCGAGCGCTTGAATGAATGAGGTAACAAAATCTTTCCAGAAGCCTGACCTGCTAGAGCTATGGGTTCTTGGAAGCGGACACCCTGACGGGTTCAACGCGGGCAATTGAATCAGTGTTTTGTTGCTGCCTCATGTTAAAGCCATGGTAATCCACTGGTTCTCAACGCTGGCCGTGTTGACGACCATACAACTTCGTGACGCAAATGATGCAGCAACCGTTTGCCTTGCATCACCTGCATCGCCAACTACCCAAAATTGGCCTCTGCAAAAAACATTAACCCCACCAGGCTGTGATGAAAACGCAACTTCTGGCCTTTTCTCTCCTCGCACCCGCGTTGTATGCTAGTACTCACTTCGTTCCCAGCAACAGCTTCAGCCTAGCCTACCGGCTGGCTTTCGTAATGAATCTATTTGTGATATAAATCTGGCATTCCAGCTGGAAAATATTCTGGCAGCCTGTTTGTCATATTTTCTGTCATTCTTTGTGACATGTATTCGGGCTTTCTGTCCAGGATGGACTCAAACACTCTATTTGTGATATTGTCTGGTACTTTTTGTTGCTATTTTCAGGCTTTGCCCGCATCTGGAATACGTTCTGGCATTCTATTTGTCGTATTTTCTTGCATTCTTTGTGGCGACAATTGCTGCTTTCCGTCCGGAATGCATTCTGGCACTCCATAGGCCACATTTTCTTGCATTGATTCTGGCCATCTTCCAGCATGCGAAGGCTATTGCGCACACCACAACAAGTGACAATGCCACACCTTGCCACGTCTGGCAAGGTTTGCACTGCACCTGACGTTTGAAAAGTTTGAAATGGTTTCGACACGCTCACATCAACCAAAATCGCAATCTTACATAAGACCCTTCCCGAAAACATAAACACCCTGCAAACGCCAATCCCAATGGTTGATATGCGCTGATGCCTGGAAACGCTATCATCTCACATTTCCTGCAAAGTATTTCAAATAGGAAACAGCCAACTAAGTACACCTTTTTCTTGAGCCATATGTAACGCGTGAAGTAGACATGACTATGTACAAGCGGTGAAAAATACAAAGAGCGGCGCTTCGCGCTGATCACCCCTCCATCCCAAAAAAGACTGTTCCTGCGAACCCGTTCCCGCAAGGCATGGCCTTAGCCATGTGCATGCTTGCGAACGCTTGCGGGCACAACTCCCAACGTCTCCCGAACACAGCTCTACGCTCAGACTCTCAAACAAGATCCCTTCGCTACGCATTCGGAATCAAAAGGAAGGCCTGACGAGAAAGACAGACACATGGCCGCCCCTCTCGACGCCTAAGACATCGAAAATGGCGTTCACAAGGCAACCGTGTTGTGGATGTACCGTGGCTCCATGGCGGTTCAAAGGGGCGGAGTGCAACCCACACCGATTGTCGATGAGCTGAGGCAATTTTGTGGCAGCGTTTTGGCTGCTCCTTCAACTCAGCTTTGTACTTTTGGCTGCTTTAAGTGCAGTGGGCCAAGACTGCATTCTATCTCGCATTGACCTCACATGCAAAGCATTGCAAAGCATTGCAAAGCACTCAGCGTGGCGTCTTATCGCGACTTGGGACCTGAGGGACCTAAACTGAAAAATGTGCATTTGTTTGACATTCGTTTGCAGCAATCCGAGCAATCTTCAGGATGTTTCATTGGCTTTTAGCTTCTGGCTCGCGAACATCTTGACAGCCTGGGCAAGTTGACATATACTTACATGGACGTGCTACGCGTTCAAGTGGCAATTCGTCACTCACAACGAAACTTAATAGAGTAACAACAAAAATGTTTATATATATACTGTAATATATATATATATTAGAATGATCCAAAATCGAAGGTGCTGTTGCGGGCATTGGGGCTCCAACAGCCCACAGATCTGCCAACACCGAATGCCGCAAGTGCACCAAGTGCTTTTCCAGCAAATGCGAGCTCAAGACCCTGTCTCGGTTTCACCAGAATGCAGGTTTGGAAGGCCGCTGTTTATGCAAGTTAGTGCCAGCCTTCTGAAAGCCAAAGAGGTAACCTTCCCCTGGGTGGGCTACATAGAGAAGTTGCACAGGTTCAAAAAAGACTTGGTAATGTCATTTTGCATCTGCATTGATCAGTAGAATTGCTCTCAGTAGCTACCAAGCTATAGACCTAGCTCGAAAACAATATGCCCTGGCAGGGACACCACTATAGAGGCTGCATGAAGCGGCACAATCCTTGGCACAAAACAGAGCGGCTGCACTTGCTCGTCCAATCTTGCCACTCTCCAAGGCTGCGGCGCGGCTGGCGGGGTGGCTTTGATGACATCCACTAGGCCGGAGTTCTCAAACAAGAACCTCAAAAAATGTCTTGGATACAAATGGCCGTGTGTTCCACCACTCCCTCTCTCTCTTCCCCTCGAGAACCATGCGAACTGCCATGTCTGGCACTGGAGTGCCACATATCAATGGTCTCAGCCTCACTGCTGCAAAACAGTCTTGCAACTGCAATCAAGGCAAAAGCCCTGTCAAACATTTCAGGAGGGCTTCAGAAAACGAAACAAACTTCTTTTGCCTCTGCTTTCTGACGCATTTGCCTTGGTGAGTCTGGGCGCCTAACCGGCACACCTCCGGGCGGGTCAGGGCCCTGCAGAAACGCAGAAGCCTGCCAGTTAACAATCAACATGTGCCAAACACATCCAAACATCCACTTCAAGTCACACGCAACACGTGGGCCACAAAGTGTGCGCCCACAAAGCGTCTGCACGTGCCTTGACGGAGCTGGGCAGCGAAACTGGCCTGGCGCTTCATTTTTCACCAGTTTGGGCCCATAAGCTCAAAGCATCTCAGGACTTTGCAAGTCTGAAATTTAAGCAAGATTGTGTTTTCTTGTGTCGCTGAGCTTGATGCAGTCCATGTTCCCCAGGTCCTGCAACAAGCGCGCGCGAAATACGCAAGAGGATGGCACGACCACAGTATGTCAGCATCATAGGACATGTGACCATCATGACCATGATTCGTTCAACTTTGCTCAAAAGCCTCCGAGGAACCAAGCAGCGGCTGCGTCATGAACCTGCGGCGGGTCGGAACTTTGACTCTCTAGATTCTAGATGCCCAAAGCGGAGCGTCGGCAAGTATCAAACAAGGACACACTCGAGATATTGCGTACGGAACTGAGTGCCACATGCCACACGCCCACCTAAGTATGAACGCCTAAGAAGCCAGGTAAATGGTAGAAGTCCCCAAGTCTCAAAATGGAGCGGAGTTCAACCATGAAAGTTCAAAACTGAATCGTCGATGCACTAGCCTCGAGCACGAAAAGCGAAAAAAACGACAGAGAGACGACGTACCGTGCAAGTCTGCAGACCTCAGCTTCACCTAAACAGCCTGTCCAATTAGAAGAGGAGGTAGTTACAAACATTTACAAACCATCACATTGGAGAAAGCAGATGCACAGATTGGCGTCCCAATCTGCTTCACCACAACTGTCTTCGTTGGCAGCAGAACCGTGGACTCCCTGCTGTCCCCATCTGTAAAGAAAAAAGAACAAATTCAACGGAATCCCTGTGACTCCAAGGGTTTCACACAAACACAGACACACACACACATACACACATACGCGTACCAGTCTCTGTGTGTATGTGCATGTGTGAGTGATGGCAGTACATTGTTTGCAAAAAAATCTGAGGCAGCCGCGGTGACATCTGCATGATGGTGCTCCACGTGTGGGGCCCACAGCCAGTCCAAAGGGAATGGCATAGTGCTGGAGCCGCTGACGGCTCTCGCGGACTCTAACTCTAGCGAAACACCCACAGAAGAAGCAAATGCAACGGCAGAAAAAAAACACCCCCAACAGTGTTTTGCCCACTACTCACTGCAGGCATGAGTTTGCTTGAAACCCCCATGCCACCCTCTGGCTTTTGGGCCTGATAGCCTTGGGAACCTACCTTCCCAGCGACTTCCTGCTACACACAAAAGACTAAAATGACTAAAATTTAAACTGTCACAGAAAAAACAGGAAGTTGATCACTCCGACTCTGACACTGCGCTGTTCCCTAGAAAGCATCTCAGCTTGTGATTGGCGCATCTTCTTGTGCTTCGCTTGTCGTGTTTACACGTCCCGCGCACTCAAGAACAAGCAACCATGATCGACAAACTGAAAACTGGCACACCATGCTCGCACCCAAGCACGTGGCGCATCGTGTCGCATCACTTGTTAACACCAAACACGGCAGCGTCAAGGAGTCGCAGGTTCATGCAGTTGAATTCGAGGCCGTGATTTGATGCAAGTGAAGATCTGACTTTGCGTCAATATATTCACTTTAAACACGTTACCTTGTTCGGACTCCCCAAGCATTCTTGCAAGCACAACCCCAGACACGCCAACTTCTTCCGAACTGGTTCCTCAACAATATCCGTGCACAAAACTTTATTTAGGGACATTTGTCGACTCTTATTGCATTTGCACAGTAATTATGTATCAGGCAACCAAGCTTAAGTCATCACAGCCTGTGCATTTTGGGTGGCAACGGCGGATCATACTTGCAAATACCATGACACGCTCGACCACACGAAACTTTCAAGACCACAATCTCCGCAGGAAGGTGCACTCCTTCCCACTTTAGCATGACCAAAGCCTTGCAGAAATACCGCCTCAAGTGAGCTCTGCCACGTTACCTGGGGAGACGGATCTAAACTCCATCGCCCACACTCTGGCCCCTCAAACGTGCCCGCCTAAGACGAACGGACGCGCAAGCGATCAAAGGCAAAGGTGCCGTGAGAAGCTACGCCAGCGATCAAGGTCCTGAGTTTCTGAATGTGAACAAGGTGATCAAATCAGAATCCATGGGGTGAAGGCAAAAGAACACACAAACACGTGCAGGATGTTCTGCTCAAAAGTGAAGGGCCCCAGAATTCAGCCTGGATTCTGCCCTCCGCTTGCTTCCGAGTGGGAATTGGCTCTCGCTTATCTTCACAAAGCGGTGAAACGTTTCTGGCAGCTCCTGACCAATGCATTTGAATGTCAAGCCCTATGCACCTCAGCCCGAAAAGGTTTTTTCAGAGCATACTACTATTCTATCGAAGGCACGAAGTCAGCTGCTTCCAAGCGCTTGAGTGGCATGCCCAGTCTCTCGGATTCCTTTCGTCGAGCAATTAGGACCAAAAGCTCCTGCAATCCCAAGAGATTCTGAAACACACCATGCCCAAAAAGGAAAAGATAATGAAGATTAATGAAGTCTGGTCCCAAATCTGAATGTGACTTGAATGATCTGAAGGATCTGAGCTCCTCTACAATCTTAGGATCAATGAAGGCTCGCCTGTCACAGTTCGAGCATGTTCAAATGTAAGCGAAAGTGAAATCAGTCTCCTCTGGATCAGTCGGCCTGGAAGGTGCTGATTCCTTCAAACCCAAGGCTTCGTCCAAGAACTCCAGAGCTCTTTCCTACCGACTCGCGAAACAACATATATCAAATGGTGTCAAATAGAAAACAATAACGTTTCTTACATCACACTCCGTTGCGTTAGCCGGGTTCCTTTTCGTTTGACGGTTTGGCACGTCAAGAATCCAACCATTTGTTCTAGAAAACTCTTTGTGTCTTTTGTCTTTGTGTCAGTTTTTGTAATCTCTACAACTCTTGTCAGCCTGAAGAATAGTTGGGGGCAGAGATGGGCAGAGAGAAAAGCGCAACATTGGGTGCATGCAAACTCGGGTGCCAGGCACGCTGAACAGTCCGAGCGGCAAGCAATCCCAGCTGAAGACAGCACTGCATCAAATGCCTAAACGCACAGCCCATCAGGTCCACCGGTTGTTACCCACTCTGTGCTTCCCACTCTGTGCTTGGAGCCTTGATTGTGAAAATTCACCGCCGAATATTTAGGTACGCGATATAAGTCTGCACTACACCTTGCGGAGACTGAGGAAGCGCGGGCAAACGCCACCAAGGGAAGGGCCTTTGATAAGGGGCCTTCAAAGAGACTTCGTACTAAAGGAGGCCTTACCTTCTTCACTTCTTCTTCCCCCCTTCATTTTTTGACCAAACGCACGTTCCAAGGTGCTCATAGGTGCGTGCACTGGGAGAACAGCCTCCAGAGTCATGAGTCGCAAGGGCCAGTTCTGGCCTGCCTTGGTGATAAAAGTGCCCGACTTGATGACAAATGTCTTCTTCATTCTTCGTCACAGTCGACAAAGCCAAGGTCTTTCATCAGTTTCGTCACCTCTCAGCCTATTTCTGAAATGGCACCATTGCGAAGTGCAGCTGCAATGAGGGTGCCATACCTGACTTGTGACTCCGAACCTGAAGTTCCCACCCTTTGAAACCAAGACTCTCTGGACTCAAATCTCCGAATCGAAAAGCTAGCATGCATACAGCTTCAGCTTGCTTGTTTTTCATTCTGCGCATCAAAGAGTTCGCATGGGTCATTACTTGTTTGTGTTTTCACGCGTCCGCTCAGCGCTCCTTTGCATTCTCAATCGTGCACGATGCTGAGATGGCCTCCACTCAACAAGGGGCTCCATTTCGATCACGTACTTCGTTTAAAGTAACTAAACCATATTTGCACCGCGCAGGAACTGCAAGGGTTCAGTCTGTACCCATGCGTTCTTCTGTAGGTCCAGGTGATGGTGCACCCCCATTGCGCCATACCCACTGCTGTGCTTGGTGGTTGCCTTCCAAGTTCACTGCGCCAGCTTTAGTTTCGAGTTTCGAGCACTCACGCATCTTACTGGACAGTCTCAGCATTCGGTGTCAGGTTCACAACCCTCCAAGTTGGGACACCTGCACTGCACACAGGTATGGTTCATTCTCGAACACATGACCCAGTAGCTGCTGTACGTAAGGACCCATCAGCGTGAGCGCATGCACACGCAAGAAGTGATTGTGTTCGCTCTGACCTGGATGGCCCTGGGGTATTGAGATGCATCTCTCAAGCGAGCATTTAGTAGGTTGCTAGTAGCTTTTTGCTGCTACTAGTAGTAATGCCCTTGCCACTAGTGGCGATGCGTTGTTTCTAGTAGTAATGCACTTGTTACTAGTAGCGATTTTATATGGTATCTATAATGTATTTGGGCAAATGGTCAGACTGACAAAAGTGTTTCAGCTGTCAAGGCAAAAAACACCAAATGCAACCGACTGGCACATAGGCATTGGGTTGTAGCTGGTGACTCTGCACCATATCATCGAACACAGCATAAGCCCGACCGATCTCACCTCTTGCGGAATACAGCTTGATGCCTTGCGCCAGTGCTTTTTGTGCATGACTTGTCTCAAACGTCAGTTCTCAGGTTCTAAATCTTGTGAATGCCTTGCTGATCTTCACTGTCGACTGTTCTGGGTCACTCTTAGAGCTTAGAACCAATGGCTGCCCCCTCCATATCATTGCTGGCCAGTGATACATCTGTACATTCATGTGTCTTGATGTATATACATGTAAAGAAATAGATAAATAAATATATATATATATGTGTGTGCACATGTGCAACATGCACGTGTCTACATGCGGGTTCTTGTGCTTTTCCCAAGGCCGAACATGGACACGCTTATGGAAGAAGGGGCACATGAGTTGCACATAAATGTTCGAGATACGGCGTAATGTGAGCTCAAGACTCACAAAGTTGCAAAGACCACCCACTTCCGGCCTCTTTTACATTCCTTTGGTTTCCTTTACATACTCACCTGAACCTGAGTGTTCAGGAATGCCTCCGGTTCGATGGGGCAACAAACAACAATGCTGATAATCAAGCCCAACCAAACCAGCAGCTGTGCTACTGAATGCAGAAGTCATGGCTTTTAAGTCAAATGTGCCGGAACAACGGCTGTCTGTGTGTGTCTCCCCCTGTTCCAAAGGGTTCTCTTTCGCATGTGCAATTTCAAGAATGCAAGGGGCCACAGACCTGCCACTGCCGCTGTGGCCAACGAAGAGCGGCAGTGGCAGGTGTGAAAACGTACCTGCGAAACTGTTGAAAAGCTGTTCTCCTTTCGGTTTGCTTCTCATGGTGGTTCTCATGCTATTCCCCTAAACCTGTTCCTTTCTTGTCTGCTAGGTATTCGTTAAGCGGCTAATGCATAGGCGGCCTGCTAAGTATTCAGTAAGGCGGCTAATGCATAGGCGGTCTGCAGACTTGCAGATAAAACACCACTGTTCAAACATCTTCAAGTGCTCGGACGACCCACCATGCCGTTCCATTGTTTCCTGTCCTCGTGGACTACGGCTAACTGAGAACCCTGTGACTAAGTGTGTGCGCACGTGTGCGTGGAAGCCTTGGACTACTCAAAGGAAATCGTTTTGTTTTCTAAATGGCAGGGGCGTGGCCTTCCACCTAGACACGATGGCCTCGAACCTAGATGCGCTGGCCTCCAACCCACTCTTGTTGTTTTACCTGGTCCCTCAGGTTGTTTTTACTTAGGTCGGCAAGTGGCAAGCCGCAAGCCAACACCGTACAAATTATCCCGAGTGTGACTGGCTTCATGCCAGCCCAGGGTGTACCCGAAGAGTGTTTTTTTGTGTGGCCTTGCTGAGCAAGGGTTTGTCGACGTCCTTGCGCCCAGGACCAAAGCAGCTCGCAGCGAGCGTAGGAGGCTTACGCCAAACATATGTTAAGACTTGACGTTTTGATGGAGCTTGAGCAGGCCGCCACTTTGGCATGCCACTAGTAGTCCGCAGCGAAGAAAAGCAGGCTGAACGCCAAGAGGCCGCAGCGGCCGCAGTTCTTTCAAGGCTCATCGGGGCCGTCCCGACCTTAATCCCCTCCCTCTTTCTCTCCGCCCCTCTCTCTGAATCCCTCCTTCTCTTTCCCTCCCCTCTTCTCTTCTTTTTCTTTCCGGCTCGGGTGTCCTTGGATGCTTCCCTACTCCTCCTGTCTGGTGTGTCCTTGGACGCTTGTGTCGTAGCTGGGAGCATCATCGCTTTCTTCTCTTTTTTTACTTTTTGCTTTTCCCTCTCTTCTGTCCCTACCCCTCCTTCCCTTGTGGGCGGCGGGGTTTACAAACAAACCGGTCGTTTACAACACGTCTTCTAAATTCTTCTAATGAGGCTCGGCTGCTCATCGGTTTGTCCCCTTTCCTTTGGTTCCTTCTTCACTGGCCCCCCCGCACACACTGTTCCCTTCTTGTCCTTCATGCCCTTTCTGTCTTCACGTCCTGTCATCCTCACCCTTTTCTCCTTTTGCACGGACCTTTGCCCGGACCTTAGTTTGTGCACATGTGCGCGTACTTTTCAACAAGCTAGGTTTAGGTGCCCCAGGCTTGCTATAGTGAGGTACGGATCATTGGCTGTCCCTCTTCACTTGGTGTCCCTTCATTGGCAACTACATACGTCTCTTGCGCGCGCATGCCCCTTGGAAAAAACCCTTTCCGGGCAGGATGGGGGTGCCTCCTTTCCGGGCAGGATGGAGGCCACACATGCCTCCCATCGGGAGGCGTGTCTCAAAGGATACTTTTTGGTCTTCTAAATGGCAGGGGCGTGTGGCAATCTCATCCTACCACACGCAATGAAGCTTTGCATGAGAGTGGGAAGCAGGGACTGATCATCCCTATGTACCTGCCTGGTTGTGGTGTTTTCAAGCTGTGACCCTACTTTTCCGTAAAGGGCTAGTGCATGTGTGTTTTGAGTCTTGTGAACTTGTAGCGACGGCCTCCAACCTTGTCGCGTTGGCCTCCAACCTACTAGTGATGACATCCTAGGTCAGCATGAACTACGACATCCTAGGCAGGGCTTGGCACCTGATAGTTTGCCAAGCTCATGCGGAATTTCATCGGTTCCGCCTCGCAGTCTATTTTAAGTTCCCTTTCTGTGATACAACCCGGCAGGAGGTCTTCCGGAGGTACATGATTGTTTTAAGAGGGTGCTTTATTGTTCCTTTATTTGTGGGACGCCAACTTCCCTCAACAGTCCACAGGGCATAGAAAGGAGAGGGGGAGAGATTTGGTTCGGTGTTCAGCTAAAATACACAATCATATATACATACAGTTAGTCGCGCTGGCCGTGTACAAACTCTAAAGTGATTATTCTATTTTTTGGAACGTGTTATATAACTGAATTGAGGAGAGACAGCGTCAAGCCCTTTGGCCGCACCAGAATCATCCGGACACACACCCTCACCAAGAAACAATCATCAAGTTGTTAGGTGAGACATAGTGAGACACGAGTTGACTCATCCCAATAAGCGTGCAAACAGCAATTATGGGTTCAAGCTCTCACAGGGGGCCTTCTTTACAAACATGTAAACAAATACACACACACACAGTGACACACAAACACATATACACCCACATACACATTTCCATTTATACTGCACTGCATTCGCACTGTGCTAGGTGTCTCCTTCTTCAAGTCTTCGGTTGCACACGACAAGAACCCTACTGACAAATTTACCTCTTCGTGGCATATTATATGCAAGGGGCATCGAGTCTCCATTCTGTGTCAAGGTGCACGCAGCCAACGTCGTGTTGGACGGTTGAACGCCAAGATCCTTCTGGCTCAGACTGAAGTTGGGCTGGGTCTCTTCATTAGATGGAAAAGGGGCGCCAAACATGTCGACAAAGGGAGGTAACTTGCTTCAACACAGTATGTCTTGCATCGACTTCCTTCATAGTTGCTCCATTACCTGTCCTTCATGGAAGCTAGGACTTGCTCTGCCCCGTGCAGGAGATTGTGGCTCACACAGCCCTCAAGCCTCAAAGCGTAGGGAACAGAACATGCCGAATGGTTTGCGACACTTTTTGTGTACAGCGCTTGAGGGTAATCTAGCGGTAAGAACCAGCCTTTGCGAGACAAAATTCCCACCTGAAGAGAGGTTCGGTTTCAGAAGAGGCCCCTTCACACCGTGCTCTGTGCAAACAGGACACAGGGCATCAAAGAGCATTGCATCTGGTTGCAAACGGTCTCTCAGCATAAGCTCGAAGTATGTAAGGGCATCCTCCACCTCACTTCAAGGTTGATGTTGTCTCATCAAGTTTCTCCCTCCTGTGTAAGGTGTAAAGTGGTTCTGGACATACACGTCACATGACAACATTTGATACAAATTGGCTATACAACTACATTTGCATAGAGAGTCCCGCCACTTGACCAAATCTTGCTCAGCAAGCTTTAGAATGGACAGGCGAATGCTTTCGAAGGAAGAATAAGCGTTTAAATTTCCTGCGTGGAACTGTACTCCCTCCCATCCCGATCACAGGAGGTCAAGCTGATATTGGAATTGGTATTGAGAACCTACTGGACTGGGATTATACTGCAAGCAAATCTAGGCCTGTATGGGCCGTGTCCAAATGACTTTATCACGTCACCAAGAGTGGTTACACCCTGCGAGCATTTAAAAAACGGAAGACTCAAAAAGTGCCCAGTGCAACCAAACGAAAAGAGTAGCAATTCCAACTCCATAGCAACAGAAATCAAGCAAGCACGAATTCATGAACATAAAAAGCTAACTGCCTTCCCGACGTGGCAAAACCCACGAATCATTGCAGAGTACATGGCCTCAGTGCTGTCTGCTCAGCACAACAGCTTGGCACTATGCAAAAGCCAAATGTCAAAGTGATCAGGTGTTTTCTAAAATATCAAACATGCATTTGTGTAATTACATGTGCACAAATGTACTCTTGAAAGGTTCGACCGACTTCGACATTACTCGACTCGCTTCAGTCCAAGCGCAAAGTCCGGATGCAAACCCTCACGCTTCAGCTCCTCGAAACATTTGCTACCTTCAGCGAAATCTCTCAAGGAACCCGAACGGAGTTCACAAAGGTTTGCGCAAGTGTGTAGCAGTTCTTTACAAATCAAAGCGCAAATTGCCACACGTCAACTGTCTTGTAAACTTGTTGCGGCAATCGCAACCAAAGCGCTAAAGTCCATGCTGCCGCTCTGCGCGCAAGCAACGATGAAGAGCCTGTGACTCAAGCCAGCGCTGGCCCAACCCTCGCCATGTCTGCCATGCATTCCCCGCTCTTTCGGGCATGCCGACAACTTTCTGGGCTCAGGGCGGGTGGGCTAAGCACAGCAAGGGCAAAGCGAAGAAAGGCGAGCATAGCAAGGCGCGCACTAACAACAGCGCACAGCTCAGTTTGAAAAGCATGGTGTCTTTTTCATACCTTTCCCATCCTTTTCCCTTTTTGGCCTTGGCAGCCAAACCCGACGATTTGCCCCCTCTCCCAGAAAACTTCCAATCCAAGCGCCTGCGAGTGCGTAGATCAACTTTGATGTGGCGACGTGCACTTTGAATGCACTTGTGGGCGCTGGAAATGTCTCGTTGCTTCAAGAACCTCAGTTCACCGTCGCGGCATTTGTCAGGTAGCCATCTCTCAGCATTCGAGTATAAACAGAACGAGAGGGGAACCCATAGTCACCCGATATGATTCAATCTCTTTATATAGAACCATATGAACATAGGGTTGACGTATGCAACATTGCCGACATCTATTCAGGTTTAATGCAATCGGACAAACTCGCTTTCTGGCTCATGACGCTGATTCTGTGGTTTGCTTATGCCGAAGGATCGTGTCGCTCTGGCTGGTGCACGCATGTGCACGCTTCTCTACGGGATGCCTGGAGGGATGAGCACAGATCCCATCCATTTCAGGTGTTCGGTGAAGATCGGAGCAAGGCTGAGCAGCAAAGAACACACAAGTCGTCCTATCAATCCAGCGGTGAACCACAAGCGGTCAACCGCCAGCCGTGTCACCTTGGAATTCGCGTGGACGGGACCCCCAAGCCAATTGTCCAACCTTTTAGGTCGCTCAACAGGTCTTACCTTGTCACAGCTGCTGGAGTGCATTTGCTGGACAAATATTCAATTGTCTGCGAATGATCATGACCGGTGAGGATTGGAGAGGATTGGTGACGCTTGTGAGTCCGTTGAGTTTCTCCTTGCACCGCTGTTGTTCAGGGGGAGGAGGACATCGCTAGTAGGTTGGGGACCATCGCTAGCAGGTTGGAGGCCATCGCTAGTAGATTTGAGGCCATTGCTAGTACAGTAGGTTGGAGGCCGCCGCTAGTAGGTTGGAGGCCGCCGCTAGTAGGTTGGAGGCCATCGCTAGTAGGTTGGAACATATCGCTAGTGGATTGGAGGCCATCGCTAGTAGGTTGGAGGCCATCAAAGCAGATTGGAGGCCATCGCTAGTAGATTGGAGGCCATCGCAAAATAGTAGGTTGGAGGCCACCGCTCAGTAGGTTGGAGGCCATCCCTATTAGGTTGGGACCATTGCTATTGGGTTGGAGGGGTTGGAGGCCATCGCTGGTGGGTCGGAGGCCATCGCTGTTAGGTTGGGACCATTGCTATTGGGTTGGAGGCCATCGCTAGTGGGTCGGAGGCCATCGCTATTAGGTTGGGACCATTGC